TGTAGCGGTTAGCGCGCTGCGCTATGAACCTGGCGACCCGGGTTCGATTCCCGCTCACGGCCAACACCAGTGATGATTATCTGAACCGGTCCGGGGCCTCCCCTAGGTCGACTCAGCCTCAAATGAGGACCTGGTGCGGTGTGTAAACACGGCCACTGGGGAGACAAAGGCGGCCGGGCGTGGTACTGGTCACACACCCCCTCATGTACCGTTCCGGCCTTCATAGGTGCTCGCTAACCGCACTTGCCCCTATAGTCTGTTAAGGCTATACGGGGGATCTTTGTTTTTGTGTATGGCGAGCGGTGGTGTAGCGGTTAGCGCGCTGCGCTACGAACCCGGCGACCCGGGTTCTATTCCCGCTCACGGCCAACACCGGTGACGATTTTCTGAATCGGTCCTGGGCCTCCCCAAGGTCTACTCAGTCTCAAATGAGTACCTGGTGCGGTGTGTAAACATCGCCACTGGGGAGACAAAGGCGGTCGGGCGCGGTGTTGGCCACCCACCCCCTCTTGTACCGTTCCGGCCGTCATAGGTGCTCGCTAACAGCACTTGCCCCTACAGTCTGGTAAGGCTACACGGGCGATCTTTGTCTTTGTCCGTCCAACAACAGCGAATGACGTGACATTCACTTGGAATTGAGTGTGATTAACGAACAATTCACGCTCGTCACTCAAATAAATCGGTGCCTACACCTTCGGCGGCGCCCAAGATCTACTCGGCCCCTTGGACTGCGCGCGTCGAGTTTTCTTTGACGTCCGTAAGACCAGGTCTGTCGGGGAGTCAGCGGCTGTCCATTCAGACGCTGTCTCCCCGACAGACCTGGTCTTCACCTGAGGACGGCTGCTTGCGTTGTGGCCGAAACGTCGTGAGAATTATTTTATTATATTTTATTTTTATTATTTTATTACTTCCCTTCTACGTGACTTTACCGAAAGAACCAAGAAGATGAATCCCTGCAGTCACGAAAGCTTTAATCGAAACTTAGGTGGTACCGCATAACCTGAACGAGTCTGTATGTCTGTGTGTGTGTGTATGGCGAGCCGTGGTGTAGCGGGGTGGGGTGGGCGGGGGGGGGGGTGACGTTTTTACGACCACAATTTATGGGCGGCAGGATGGAAGGTCGCTAAATGGAACGCGGGTTGAGCGGAACAGTTGGATCGTATTTTATGCAACGTGATATGTTTACGTTCGAGTTTGACGAATCGCAACTTCCTCCGCTTCTTCGGATGGGGAAACAGTTTCATTCCTGGTCTTGTGATGTTTTTGCCTTCTTTGTTGTTTTCGGAAAATAAAAATAAAAGTTATTGGTGCCACGTAGAGAGGAACGGATGGATTGGATTATGGAACAAGCTAGAGACGTCACGTTGCCCTCTTGCGAAACGTGCAACTGGGAAGGAGACATCCCATCTCGAAGGGATGATGGCGGTTGGGTGAGGACGTGGGTTCGATCCCGACCCTGACGCCTGCTGTATATGTGGAGTTTCGTCATCTCTCTCTCTCCCCGTGATCGCGTGGATTCTTCTCCCGGCCCTCCCGTTTCCCCTCCACATTTAGAAACATGTGCTTAGAGTATTTGGCTGGGATACATTTCCACGTGATAAGCCACTTCGTTGAGCTATCATTTGTGGCCAGGCCGCGTCTGAAAAAGAGCTGTATAGCTCAGTGGGTCTTACCTGTTAAAATAAAACACACAGTGTAATAGCTTGACCACTACCTCTCGTGGACAAGAAGTCACTCGAAATTTCAGAATTAGTTCTGTGGTAGGAGGAAAACCAGTGAGGCTGGAGGAAGCCCACAGACGAATGACGGCACGGAGGTCCCAAAACGTAAAAGCAACCCCAGACCGACTCGTGTTCGTGCCAAATTATGTCACTAATTCGCCACCACAGCCACGCTGTGATCACAAAAAGGCAGCTCACCTAAACAAACACGTTCTTGGGCAATGTGTGCCAATGCATACACGCGATGAACCCACTAATTTCATAACAAAGCAAATTAGTGACACAGGAAAGCTCCGTTGGCTGCCGAGACACGTTTGCAAGGAAGGGCCGTGCCAATTGACGTGTTTGACCCACGCCATTAATGAGCGTTTTGGCACGTGGGAGGAAACAAGGGTGTCCGGAGAAAACGCAGTCATACGTGGTGGGGGGATACCATTGATTCATCCCGGCCACCTCGTAACTCTGTAACTCCCACAACACCCTTGCTCGTGGTCACATCTCCACGTGCTCACGAGGCTCGACTCTGCTTATCTTTCGCCACCGGATTGGGATCGGGTGAACTACAGAGTGATTCGGTTGTCGGTCAAATCGCACAATAGGGGCAAGTTGCACGGGATACGTAAATTAATACCCGCAGGTAGTACGGTAAAAAGTGAGATATCTACGCAGGGTTCGTGGACTGTTAAGGGTTCGACTGCGACTGTTCCTAATGCCAAATGCTTTGGGGCCTCAGAGATATCCATTACGAAGCGAAGAACATAATCGGGAAGGTGGCTCGCGGAAAAGGGATGGGTAGGGTTTGGGGTTAGAGATTGGGTTGGAGTTATGGATACGGTTTTGGGTCAGGGATAGAGTTGAGGTTAGGGTTGGGTTAGGGTTGAAGTTTGGGATAGGGTTGGGGTTCGGGATACGGCTTTGGGTTAGGGATAGGGTTGAGGTTCGGGACAGGGTTAGAGCGAGTGAGTGATTGGCTGAGGCGCTATTTTACACGCTTGTTATTACACGCTTTTATTTAACTCACTCCGTCTGTTGTCATATCCTCAAAAAACTATTCTAACTCAATTTGTACCCACTTCAAATGTACTATCGACTGCAAACTTGGTCTACTTATGTCATACTGATGACAATACTATATTCTATCATAAAAATATATATGTTAAAACATTATTTTTTATATGTTATGTTTTTGCTTGCCTAACTGTTCACGGTAAACTTGCGTTGGCTGTAAATCACCACGGTTCCTTACGTTATGGCAAGCTTCGGGGCCACTTCATGGAGTCGTGGAGTTCTTCCATTGCTAGTACGGTACATTCCATTAAAGCGTCTTTAAAAAAAAAGTTTAAAAAAAATATGTAACTTTATTTCAGAACAGTAATGCTTCACACCACAATGCCCCTTGCTTGCATGGAGGCGCTTTCAGCACCAGGGACAGCGCCCATTACAGCAGCAATCCCCTCAACACTCGAGGTGCGAGTCTCAACACAAATAAAACTATCAACTATTTTTTATTTTGCCAGGTAAGACCAACTGAGTTATATAGCTCTTTTTTCAGACGTGACTTTGCCGCAATTGATAGTTTTTTTGGCGAGGCTTCGCACCTATAAGCCTCTCGTCTGGCTGAGATGTCGCAACTCCAACTCCAATTAGCACGGTTTGGCTACGTACGTTGCGAAATACGTTCAGACATACAGGGACTCCTCTAATTACGAACGAGTTAGGTTCCAGAGGTCTGTTCGTAAGTCAATTTGTTCGTAAGTCCAACTTTACTTCGGTCGATTCCAAACATGTTGCACGGCATGTACACGAAACACGGGGAGAATGGCTTTAAAAGTTGTATCATCTCCTGTAGATGTAGATACCACTGGTTCTTCATGTTCTGCAAACGTAGATGCCACCACCGTCATCTATTGCACGGCGGTATCTCTGAAAGTTCGCAAGTCGAATCTTCGTAAGTAGAGGCGTGCCTACACATACATTCAAGTCACCAGCAGCCGCCACTGTTTTTAACACGCTGTGTCACCCGGTATGGGTCCCGGAAGTCTGTTTGGCTGCTCACGTGGGTCGTGAGTTGGATACGTTTGAGCACTCCACCCCACCTCCGCTCCAACCCTCATCCTGACTCGAACCCTATCCCTCACCCTAACGAAACCTTAATCCAAACCCTACCCCTATCCAACCCTAACCCTAACTCTAACTATCCCTAAACCGAATCACGGTGGCGAGATGTTAACCATCTCGCCTCGTATACAAGAGGTCGTAGGTTCGATCCCGACCCTGACGCCTGCTGTGTATTTGTACTTTGCGTCTCTCTCTCCGTTGATTTTTTTCCGGGTCCTCCGGTTTTTCCCCTCCACATTTAGAAACACGCGTTTAGAGTATTTGGCTGCGATATAATTCCACGTGATGAGCCGCTTCGTCGAGGTATAATTTGTGGCCAGGTCGCTTCTGAATAAGAGCTCTCTAGCTCCCCGGGTTCATAGTGCAGCGCGCTAAACCGCTGCACCACCGCTCTATGATAACACACACGCGCAGATATAACGCGACGGACTGCAGCATCATCTTAACGCGGGATAGACGTCTAAGGCACACAAACACATACACACACGTGTGCATTTCTGCCCGATGCGACATCGCTTTGGGGATGGGGGGAGCAACCTCGACAGCTCCAAACGGCGTGCAGAGACCTGCCAAAGCGCGCCTCTCGTTCCGCCCTCGGTGAAGTGCACAACACGAGCAGCGATATTCCCATCTCGCTTGGAAACACGACGCGCCCGCTGGCTGACTGGCCGGCTGCCTAGCGAGTTGGGGGGGGGGGGGGCGAGAGGCACGTTTGGCTGTCTGCTATTGCGGCTGCTGCTGCTCTTGACCGTGAAGCCGACGCTCGCCTGGGTGTTTGTAGAACAAAAGGCGTCTTCTTTTCAACACGGAGGCGGGCGGGCAAGCGTGATGCTGACTACTGCCGCTGTGCGTGCATTCCTGCTGCTGCTGTTGCTGCTGAGTTATGGAGGGAACTCGACGAGTTTGGATTTCTCGTTGGTGCATAAATAGCGTCGCGAATGAGAATTCATGCACACGCGCGTGTGAGTTTGTCCATCTGTACACTGCGTATATATACACACACGCACACGACTACACGCACACACTATAACACACGTGCTCGCCGATCCACGAGACCCCCCCCACCCACACGTCCACAAGACAAGAAAAAGAGAAAGAGGCAGTCCCGTTGGACCTTGCAGACCAAACGCACGGGACCATCCCTCGAGCTCACCGCACACCCGCTTGTCCGAACGCTCCTGCAGCAACACAGACACACACGAAGGGATGGCCTCATTCCACGGCTTCCAAATGAGCAGGGGTGCATCGTCGTCCTCCTACGGCCTTGGAGCGTCCGTCACTCGAATGGCAGGGGGCGGAATGGGCATGTACGGCGGTGGTGGTGGCGGTGGTGGTGGTGCAGTGGGCTACGGCGTGTACGGCTCCGGTGCGGCGGGGCTCGGCTTGGCTTTAGGTGATGGCTACGGGGTCGCCACGGGGCAAGGAGGCCTCTCGCTACAGACGGGGCTCGGCGCGTCTCGGGGCTACGCCGTAGGCTACGGAGGCGGACTGGGTCTGGGTCTGGCTGCCGGGGGAGGTGGTGGGGCGCTCATGCCGTACGGGAGCCCCGCGTTCGCCGCCGGGCGCTCGATGCTGTCGGGAGGACTGGCCGGGGGGCATCCGCCGCAGTCGCTCGCCGCCATGCCGCCTCTGGCCACGCGAAACGTGCACAAGGCCACGCTGCAGGGACTCAACCAGCGCTTCACGGGCTACGTGGAGAAGGCGAGTGGGGGGGGGGGGGGGGGGCAGCGGCGACGCTCTTGATTATTTTTTTCGTTTTTCGGTTTTTATATCGCGTATTCTTAGGTTTTTTCGGTAAAGTCATGTAGGTAAAACATTAAAATTAATAAAAGTGAAATAAAATAAAAATCACGACGTTTCGTACGGAAGCTTGTGTTGCTTCTGAAACGTCGTGATTTTTATTTTATTTTACTTTTATAAATTTTAATGTTTTACCTACGTGACTTTACCGAAAAAACCTAAGAATATGAATCCTTGCAGTCACGAAAGCTTCAAATCTAGAATGTATATCGCGTGTTTGTTTGGCGTGAAGTCCGACGTTTCGCTGCCACGTGCTGGAAGCTTCTTCGATTCGAGTAGGATAAATACATTTTCGTATGGGATTTGAAATGTAGCTATTGTTTAGCTTGTTTACAAACGTTCCATAGTTCTAAGGTATATTTTATTTCTTAACAGCTATTGCCAGTGTTAATTATTTGTGATTAATGCGCTGTGTATAGTAGATGGAATGCCTTGAAATGATTCACTTTAGTGATACCCTCCTCACTGTTTCGAAGGTGCCATGAGATGCGATGGCATCACACATCCAACATTACCGTGTTGGTTTGAGTACTGAACCTATTGCCTGTGCATATCTACACGATTTGTGAGTGCTGGACTCTGCTCAGCTTTCAATTATATTGTGTCTGTTTTAGTCAGGAATTCCCCAAAACATGTTTAACTAGGGTTTTTTCTATAATGTTTACACAATTCCATTCTAGTGCAGAACCAAAGTGATTGTGATGGTTTGTGTGTGTGTGTGCTTATTCGTGGCCAGACTGAGACCATCAACTCCATATACTTAAGAACCAGTTCCGTTCTTTGTCACTGATGCGGCCTGGGTGTGCACATTTTTGCTTAACCTGTGCATGTGTGTGGAGCTGAACAGTGGATTTGATGAACCACTCGGTGAATCCACCAACATCATCATCACCATTATCGTCTCTGTTGAGCTGGCAACCGCTGAGATCCTGGATTCGAATCCGGATTTCAGAAACACAACATTATGTACACGGGATTCTCGAGTGGAGCCAGTTGATGGTGTCAGCCCGGTCACCAACGAGCGCACATTACCTTTGGTTCTGCGCCGATTATTGTATTGATGTATCTACGTAGTATATTCCGGCCCTGAGAATAGGTGGCAATGCGTTTGACGGTCACGTGACGAACATTGCGAGTATTTGGTGGCTGCTGCTGCTGCTATAAATGTCCACGTGATAAGCCACTTCGTTGAGCTATCGTTTGTGATGACCAGGTCGCTTCTGAAAAAATATCTATATCGCTCAGTGGACCGTACCTGCTTAAATAAAAAAACATGGTTTAGTTGAGTAATCGGATTATTTGCCGACAAGCTTGCGGTCACGTGGACACTGAGTTGCTTGACCCCTCAATGGGTGGAGGGGCAGCTGATTGTTGGACCCGGCTGCGAGTGTAAAAGTGTAATTGGGGCACGGAGAATCTACAATCTGGATAATCGAGAGTTCATGGTGATCAAACGCCTTGTACCACACAGAAGTCACCTTCCCTGTACCCTCCTCTCCTCTTACTTTCATCCTTCACCTTAAAATAACATCTCTTTCTTACTACCCGCAATCCCTTCTAAACCTTCTCCTGGTTTATCGGTCTTTCGGGCCACTGGGGAGGGGGGGGGGCATGGTCGATTCATTCACCGACATCTCCTCCTCGTGTGCGATGCTCTCTCCACTTCTCGCTGTCCATCGCTGCGTCTTTCAAACTGAGACGACTTCCGTCCCATCCAACGATTGACGTTTGACAATCAATCCGGGTGACCTTCCCCACTTTCCCCCAGCACCTTCCAGTGATCCGTCCACCACGAGGTCTGGTCATCAGTCGTTCCGGTCGCGTGTCTGAAACTTCGCAGTTTTGCCAGACTTATTAGCCTCGATTATTTTTGTTGCTTTGTCCATAACTTTCCTTCATTCGCCTGTAAAATAACAAAAAACATCTCACCTCTGACCCACGATCTATTAACGCGCACGTCATTCTCTTTGTCCGGCTACCCGAGATGCGGCAGAAAGCATTTCAGGGTTCGAAATGCCATCACGACCAAAAAGCGTTGATGCCACTTCAGAGCACGTGGTCGGATGCCTCGCACGTTGACGTCACAACGCGTCGCTTGTGCCAACCTGCGGACGCATCGACGGAATTCCACGCCGATCACGACTCCACGTTGCACCAGCCAAAGCCTGTCGCAACTTGATTATGTCAACGACGCTCATGCAGCAGCTGGCACGCTGAGCTGTCTCATACAGGAATGTGATCAGCAGGGCCATGCTAGGGGGCGGGGGAAGAGGGGGGCTGGGGGGGGGTGAATGGGGGGGGGCGAGGTGGAAAGAATCACAAACTAAAGGCCTCTCTCTCTCCACTCAGTGTAAACCACACACACACACACGTGTTACATGGAGGCACGAATTACATTTAATGTGCGGCACACGTTAACGTTGCTCAGCTGTTGATCGTGATGTAACCTTGTGTGTTTATTACACTCTGTAACACGATGTCTGTTCCTCAGTAGTAAGTGCTATTTCGTAATTGCCTATGCCTAAAAAGTATAACAAATGGCTATTATTCCCCACAAACTTTGCTTTTGTGACAGGACAGTGATATTTTGAAATTTACCTATTTTCAATGTCAGAAACAGGAACAAAATAAGTAATATAAAAAAAAACTTTTTTTAAAAACACGCTTTAATGAAATGTACCGTACGAGTAATGGCAGAACTCCACGACCTCAGGAAGTGGCCCCGAAGCTTGCCATGACGTAATGGGCCGTGGTGATTTAATTAGACCCAAGCAGAAACATAACATATACAAATTTATGTTTAAAAATATTTATATATATGTTTTGTTGATAGAATATAGTATTGTCATCAGTATGACATAAGTATACCAAGTTTGCAGTCGATATCACATTGGGAAGTGGGTTAAAATTGAGTTACAAGATTTGATACAGCAACGACAACAACAAAAGACAGATTGAGTTGATGATTACAACGATGATTACAACAAGCACGATGATAATGATGACGATGATTATGAAGACGATGACGGTTATGATAATGACGACGATGGCGATGATAAAGACAATGATAACGATGATGACAATGATAATGATAACGATGATGACGACGATGATAAAGAAAATGATAACGATGACGACGAAGATGATTAAGGCAATGATAACGATGACGACGACGATCAAGACAATGATAATAACGACGATGACGACAATGACGGCGATGAAGACGACGATGATGACGACGATGATAACGAGGACGATAACGATGACGACAACGACGACAATGACGACGATGACGACGACAACGACGACAATGACGGCGATGAAGACGACGATGACGACGACGATCAAGACAACGACAACGACGACAATGACGACGATGAAGACGACGATGACGACAATGACGGCGATGACAACGACGATAACGACACTAATGAAGACGACGACGATAACGAGTAGGATGACGGCGATGAAGACGACGAAGACGATGACGATGAAGAACACGACAACGACGATGATGAAGACGACGATGAAGACGACGACGATAACGAGGACGACCGCTTGTGCACGCGAACGCAGGTGCGTCTCCTGCAGCGCGAGAACGCAGCGCTGGAGGCGCAGCTGCAGGTGCTGGCGGGGGGCGCGCCCATTTCCGCCGACGGGGACCTCGCGGTCGACTACGAGGAGCGAGTGGCCGAGCTGCGCACCTCGCTCGAGACGCTCGCCACGGAGACCGCGAGCCTCGAGGTGGAGGCGGACAACGTGCGCGCCACCGCAGAGGAGCTCCGAGCCAAGTGCGTGGTCATCCTGCTTCTCCCCACACCCACCCACCCTCGCCCTCTTCTCTCGCTCTTTTTTGTTTCATGTTGATTTTTTATTTTTTTGTTATTTTTTCTCTCGCTCGCTCTCCTCTGCTCTCGCTCTTCCGTGGTCATCCTACCTCCCCCTCGCTCTCTTCTCTCGCTCGCTCTTTTTAAATACTTTATATTAAGTTCGCTTGCTTGCTTGCGTGCTTGCTTGCTTGCTTACGACCGTGCAAACCTTTCGGTCGTTTTTTAACCCACTTCCCGTGATCCAATCGAGCTGACATTTTGCACACAGACTCGTTGTGCGAGACAATTAATGTTCGTGAAATTTTTTTCCAAAATTTTACACTGTTTAGGGAAAATTAATTAAATATTTAATTACCAATTGCTTAATGCTGGCAGACAATCATCTGACCCATAGGTGGCAGCCATCTCAAGCCAGAGGACGAGAGGACTCTAGCCGCCACGCATATAAAGGATTTAGAGTGAAAAACTTTGTTTTTACGGGTTTACTTGTTTTGTTGTTATTTTTTCTCTCGCTCGCTCTCCTCTGCTCTCGCTTCTCCGTGGTTATCCTCCCCCCCCCTCGCTCTCCTCTCTCGCTCGCTCTTTTTTTGTTTTACGATCAGAGGAAACAAGAAGATGCTCGGTGTAGTCGGCACTTTGCTTCGTTCATCATTTAGTTTTTTTCGGTTTTTTTCAGCGATTTGCTTTATGTGCCCCCCCCCTTTAAAAATGAAAGATTTCACGCTCTACTCTCCTCCTTCTTACCCCTTCCCTCTCCCTCTACCCCCTCTCTCTCTACCCCCTCTCTCCCTACTCTACTCTCTCTCTCCCTCCTCCCTCCCACCCCTCCTCTCTCTCTTTTTTATTACGATCAGAGGAAACAAGAAGATGCTCGGTGTAGTCGGTACTTTCCTTCATTCATCATTTCGCTTTTTTCGTTTTTTTTTCCAATGCTTTGCTTTATGTGCTCCCCCCCCCCTTTTTGAATGAAGCATTTTACGTAATTTTCTCTCCCCCCTCTCTCTCCCCCTCCCCCCCCCTCTCTCTCTCCCTCTCGCTCGCTCTCCTCTCTCGCTCCTCCGTGGCCGCGGCTTCTGCGACGTCGCTTCCCTGCGGACGTTGACTCCGCGACTGAGTCGCGCGAGTGGCTCGCGCGACCGAGTTGCATGCGACCGAATCGCTTGTGCGTGGACGTCTACTCGCAACCGGTTGCGAGCAGTGGTTGCTGAAGCCAGGTCCAGTTGCACGCAACTCGGTTGCATGCAACTGGTTGCCTGCGACTGAATCACTTGTACGTGGACGTTTCTTGCGACCAGTTGCGAGCAGCAGTTGTGTAGCTGGTTGCTTAAGCCAAGTTCCAGTTGATCACAACACAGCTGCACGCAACTGGTTCCAGGCGACTGAATCGCTTAATCGTGGACGTTTCTTGCGATTGGTTGCGAGCAACTTGCGCAACCGGTTGCTCCCAGTAGAAGTGGACTCGACTCTCCAAGCGTTTCATTCGCCGCACGCCGCGCGTTTTGCAAACTCTCATCGGTCGCCATGATCCTGGACGCGCTGTCGAACGTAGTCGTCGTTTTTGTTGTTGTTGTTGTTGTTGCACAGCGGCTCGCTCGGGAGGTGGACAAAGCAGTTGCAGGCGATGATTACGTTTGAGTGATGACTTTGCGAGTGACCAAGGGTGGACCCGGTTTTTCCGCACAACGACGACTGCCCCCACGTTGCCTCCGTGGGCAGCGGTGGTGACCCACGTTCTGATTCCCGGCCAACGTCAGTGGCGAGTGATGCCTGAACCTGTTCTTATTCACCCGCCCCGCGACCCCTGTCACCGACCCCGCTACTCACCGGCGTGGCGAAGTACGGCCAAACAACCCCGGCCGTGACTGGCAAGGCACGGGAGTGCCACTGATGTTGGCCGTGAGCCGGGATCAAAATCAATTTACTGGATTCGTAGCGCGGTGTGTGCTAACCGCTGCACCACCGCTCCAAAAGACAAAAATCCCCCATATAGCCTTAACAGACTGTAGGGGCAAGTGCTGTTAGCGAGTGGCACCTGTGAAGGTCGGCGAGGCACACGAGGGGGTCGGTGGCCAGCACCACGCAGGACCGCCTTTGTCTCCCCAGTGGGGATGTTTACACACCGCACCAGGTACTCATTTGAGGCTGAGTCTACCTAGCGGAGGCCCAGTACCGGTTCAGATAATCGTCACTGCTGTTGGCCATGTGCTGGAATCGAACTCGGGTCGCCGGGTTCGTAGTGCTGCGCGCTAACCGCTACAACACCATTACCACCACCGCCACCACCACCGCCACCACCACCGCCACCACCACCGCCACCACCACCGCCACCACCACCACCACAATAATCAGCAATCACACCGCGACCGCTCACCAAACACGCCGGCTCATATTCTTAGGTTTTTTCGGTAAAGTCACGTAGATAAAAAATTAAAATTAATAAAAGTAAAATAAAAATAAAATAAAAATCACGACGTTTCGGAGGCAACACAAGCTTCCGTGGCAAGGCACGGGAGTGCCACTGCTGGCTCATGTCCTACACACGAAGCGGTCACTACCTCTGCAGGGCGAGCCTCACGCAGCCGGTAACGAGAGCGCGCTCCGCAGAGCGAGTGATCGATGGGTGTCGTTGCGCGTGCAGGTACGACTTCGAGACGGGCATTCATTATCAGCTGCAGTCGGACATCACCCTCATGAAGAAGGTGAGTCGCCGTTGCCGCGGTCAGCCGACAACGACTGCGGGCACGCTGATGAATCGTAACGTTGATTTCATGTTTTTTTTGGGGGGGTGGGGGTTCAGATCGCCGCGTAAGTAGAACCGTGTGTCGTGACACCTTCTTCTCGTTTCGACACGGCCAGTGAATAAAGTTGTCACGTTTCGATTTAAAGCTTTCGTGACTGCAGGGATTCATCTTCTTGGTTCTTTCGGTAAAGTCACGTAGAAGGAAAATAATAAATAATAAAAATAAAACATAATAAAATAATTCTCACGACGTTTCGACCACAACGCAAGCAGCCATCTTCAGGTGAAGAACAGGACAACTTTGTCAAGGAGACAGAGTCTGAATGATTCAGACTCTGTCTCCTTGACAAAGTTGTCACGTTTCGCGAGCACACGCGGGCAATTTATGGCCGTCTCGGAGCAACATCGCACGATTTAAATGTGGAACGACGCTTCGCTGACACTGTAATTAGAGGCGGCATCATCATCATCGTCATCATCATCATCGTCGTCGGGGAGAATTTGCCAAAAGGTCCTCCAGTCTCGTGAGGTCTGCTCACAGATCAGTTGTGAGTCGTGACATTGGATCACGAGAATCATCCGTGTTCGATGTGGACGTACGTTTAGTTTCACGTTCCGAGTTCGATTTTTTTGTTAAGCGCCTGAGAATTCAAGTTGACTAGAATCGTAGGAAGAAGAGAGTATGTGGAGAGAGTGCTATTAGTGTGGAGAGGCAGGAGAGTGCGTGGAGGGGGGTAGAGTGAGATGAGAGGTAGGAGGGTGCGTGGATGGGAATATAGTGATATTAGTGTGGAGAGGCAGGAGAGTGAGTGGAGGGGAGTGGAGTGAGATGAGAGGGGAGAGGTAGGAGAGTGTATGGAGGGGAGTAGAGTGAGATGAGAGGGGAGAGACAGGAGAGTGCGTGGATGGGAGTAGAGTGAGATGAGAGGGGAGAGGTAGGAGAGTGTGTGGAGGGGAGTAGAGTGAGATGAGAGGGGAGAGGCAGGAGAGTGCGTGGATGGAAGTAGAGTGAGATGAGAGGGGAGAGGCAGGAGAGCGTGGAGGGGTTAGAGTGAGATGAGAGGTTAGGAGGGTGCGTGGATGGGATATAGTGATATAGTGTGGAGAGGCAGGAGAGTGAGTGGAGGGGAGTGGAGTGAGATGAGAGGGGAGAGGTAGGAGAGTGTATGGAGGGGAGTAGAGTGAGATGAGAGGGGAGAGACAGGAGAGTGCGTGGATGGGAGTAGAGTGAGATGAGAGGGGAGAGGTAGGAGAGTGTGTGGATGGAAGTAGAGTGAGATGAGAGGGGAGAGGTAGGTGAGTGAGTGGAGGGGAGTAGAGTGAGATGAGAGGGAAGAGGCATGAGAGTGCGTGGATGGGAGTAGAGTGAGATGAGAGGGGAGAGGCATGAGAGTGCACGGAGATGAGTAGAGTGAGATGGGAGGGGAGAGGCAGCAGAGTGCGTGCGGCGGAGTAGATTGAGTTGAGAGGGCAGAGGTAGGAAAGTGCGTGGAGGGGAGTAAAGTGAGATGAGAGGGGAGAGGTAGGTGAGTGCGTGGAGGGGAGTAGAGTGAAATGAGAGGGGAAAGGTAGGAGAGTGCTTGGATGAGAGTTTAGTAAGATGAGAGGTGCGAGGCAGGAGAGTGAGTGGAGGGGAGTAGAGTGAGGAGATTAGGCATGCGGGGAGGCAGGAGTTGAGTCTATGGAGGGAATGTTGAAGGTGCCAAGTGCGATGTTGACATTCTGTTCTTGCTCTCTGCGTGCGTCTGACGGTGGTGCCCCCCCCACCCCCTGCCAGGACATCGAGTTTGCGACCGATTCCAAGGTCACCCTGGCCACCAAGATTACCTCCCTCACGGAAGAGCTCGCGTTCCTCAAGATGAATTACGAGGAGGTATGCGCTGGGCTGAAGACGCGTCGCGTTCAGCTCCACCACCAAGGTCGCGCCGCGTCCACCAGTAACCCCGTTGCGATCCCATTCCTCCTTCCTTCCTGTCCTTCCGTTGCCTCGGCCTTTGGGGCTGACGGCACGCGGACGTTTCCTTCACTGGCATCTCATGGCAGTCGTCACTCCGCTTCTCTCTGTCTGTCGCGGCATCCTTCGAAGCGAGTTCAGTGAGGTGATGTCTGACATCTGTCGGGCGCTGCGCTCTTGTAGGTGTGGATGTATGCACGTTAAACTTCTTTAGCAGCGTACGTAGCCGACCGCGTGAATTGGAGGTGCGGGGAAAGGACAACAAACTGAACACAAAACGCAGTTCTAACGAAATGAGCGCTCCGATGTAGGTGATTGAACAGTGCATGGCTCCAGTGGTGTCCGAACATCGGAGGGAAGAGCGCTCCAGACGGCCGCAGAAGCGCACCTCCTGAAAGCGAGCCACGCGGTGACCGTGGTTTGCAGAGGCCTCGGTGAAACAAAATTTAAAACGGGGTCCGAGATCCACCTCCCCCACCTCCTTCTCCTCCCCCCTCGATCTTCTTCATAGCCCCGCACCTGGGCCCCCTCGTGGGCCACGTGAACGGCAGTTGCCACCCAGTGTCATGGCGCGTGAGATTGACGGCCTCGCGCCAAGTGTATCTTTGTAGAACTTCCTTTGCACCGCACGTCGCCAACCGTGATTATGGGCGAATAATAATAATCATCATCATCATCATCATCATACCATCCAGGTGGCACAAGCGGTAAGGCAGGAACAGGCCGACTCAACCGGGACGTGCCAGTCAGATCTGGGACGCTAAGCCGGCCTTAGAGACTAGATAATCACTTTTGGTAGGTGACCACCGTGCATGAAACGGGTGCAGCTCTAGGCTGCTTACGTGGTGGACAGCAGAGGCGAGTGCAGAAACATCCACGGTTGGACTGTACATCGCTGCAATCGTCTATGCACCCCCCGCCTTCGCCGACCCGCACCGACCCAGCGTGGCGAAGTGTGGTCCAGCAAACCCCCACGACCCGCACCGCCTGCGGTGCTACACAAACTCCGCGAAGTTGATCGACAAAATGCCTCGCCGCTTTGTCACTCCGCTGAACCGGAGCGCTCAGGCGGCACGCGACGAGTAGCCCGTGCCACGGGCGAGAGGAATACTCGACGTGGCGATGCCGGGTGTGGAAATGTGTCACCGGGGGCGGCTGGCGAGCGGGTCGCGGGGTGCCACGGGCGTGCGAGAGGGGGGCGACGCGTAACCCGACGTGACCGATGCTGGTGGGGCACATTGTGGTGGTGGCGCGCGCAGGAGATGGCGACTTACCACGTCCGGCTGGGCACCACCGAGTCGACGTCGGCCGTCATCGAGGTGGACACGGTCCGCTCGGTCGACGTCACCACGGCGCTCTCCAAGATCCGCGACGAGTACGAGGAGGTGGCGCGCAAGCACCGCGCAGGAGGCCGAGGCGCACTACACCAGCACGGTAACGCGTCGCCAAGCCCCGTGCCTTCCGTGGGCGTCGAGGGTGCTGCCGTGCCTTGGCGTTGTGGCAAGCGCGGGCTGGGGTGGGGTGGGGGGATAGAGCGTTGCACCCTCGCGCGAGGTGTGGGTGTTCCTCCGGACGCTCCGGTTTCCCTCCACGTGCACAGTAACCGCGAGTTAATGATCTGGCTGAAGGCATTTTGATGGGTGTCCTGGGCCTCCCCTAGGTCGACTCAGTCTTAAATGAGTACCTGGTGCGGTGTGTAAACATCGTCGCTGGGGGAGACAAAGGCGGCCGGGCGTGGTGCTGGCCACCCACCCCCTCGTGTGCCGTGTTGGCCTTCATAGGTGCTCGCTAACAGCACTTTCCCCAACAGTCTGTTAAGGCTACACGGGGGGGATTTGTGTCTTTTGGAGCGGTGACGCAGCGTTGTGCTTGATGCGGTTCGCACGAATGGCGCTGCTCGATACGAACGTGGCGTTGGTGTTCGTGGCCGTGTCACGCGTGGCTGTTCCTCGCCAGATGGAGCGAATCCAAGAGTCCACGGCGCAAACGACGGCGGCCATCACGGAGCTCAAGACGGAGCTGAGCACGGTGCAGAAGGACGTGCAGAGCCACTACTTGGAGCTGCAGACCACCCTGTCCGAGGTAGGGCTCGCCCGCACTCACCCACACTCACCCACATTCACACACACTGACCCACACTGACCCGCACTCACCCACACTCACCCACACTCACCCACACTGACCCGCACTCACCCACACTCACTCACTCACCCACACTCACCCACACTCACCCACACTGACCCGCACTCATCCACACTGACTTACACTGACCAACACTGACTCACACTGACCCACACTCACCCGCACTCACCCACAATGACCCACACTGACCCACACTCATCCACACTCACCCACACTCACCCACACTGACCCGCACTGACCCACACTCACCCACACTGACCCGCACTCACCCACACTCACCCACACTCACCCACACTCACCCACACTGACCCACACTGACCCGCACTCACCCACACTCACCCACACTCACCCACACTGACCCACACTGACCCACACTCACCCACACTGACCCGCACTCACTCACACTCACCCACACTCACCCACACTCACCCACACTAACCCACACTCACCCACACTCACCCACACTCACCCACACTGACCCGCACTCACCCACACTCACCCACACTGACCCACACTGACCCACACTCACCCACACTGACCCGCACTCATCCACACTGACTTACACTGACCCACACTGACCCACACTGACCCACACTCACCCACACTCACCCACGCTCACACTCACTCACCCACACTCACCCACACTGAACCACACTGACCCGCACTGACCCACACTCACTCACACTCACTCACACTCACCCACACTCACCCACACTCACCCACACTGACCCGCACTGACCCACACTCATCCACACTGACTTACACTGACCAACACTGACTCACACTGACCCACACTCATCCACGCTCACACTCACTCACACTCACCAACACTCACCCTCACTCACCCACACCCACCCACACTCGCCCACGCTCACCCACACTCACCCACATTCACACACACACTGACCCACACTGACCCACACTGACCCACACTCACTCACACTCACCCATACTCACTCACACTGACCCACACTGACCCACACTCACCCACACTCACACACTCACTCACACTCACACACTCACCAACACTCACCCACACCCACCCACAATCGCCCACGCTCAGCCATGCTCACCCGCAGTCACCAACACTCACCCACACTCACCCACACTGACCCACACTTGGCCACGCTCGCCCTCACTCGTCCGCACTCTCCCTGTGGCAGAGCTACTCCCTGGAGCAGACAGTGGCGATGCACTCGGCCCGCAGCAGCACCAGCGTGGCGAGCTACCAGACGACCTTTGCCAGCCTCGAGGTGGCCATCGCCACCGCCAAGTCGGACCTGCAGCGCCAGCTCGTGGCCTACCAGGCGCTTGTGGACGTCAAGCTGGTGCTGGACGCGGAGATCGCCACCTACAAGCGTCTGCTGGAGGGCGAGGAGGACATGTGGGCGACCGCACGCACACACGCGCGCGTGACCCCGCGCGTGACCCCGCGCTTGAACCTGTGCGACCCCGCTTGAGCTCGTCTGATCGCACGTGTGACCCCGTGCGTGACCCCGCACGTATCCCCGTACGTGACCCCGCGCTTGACCCTGTGCGACCCCTCGTGACCCCACGCATGACTCCACGTGACCCTACGAGTGACACCGCACGTGACCCCGCGCGACACTCCGCGCGATCGTAACGATGTGGCAAAGCCGGAATAATGCGATGGGGAGTAATGTGAGTATTTTGGCTGCTACTATAAATAGGCACATGATGAGCCACTTCGTTGAGCTCTTGTTTGTGTCCAGGTCGCTTCTGAAAAATATCTATATAGATCAGTGGGCCTTACCTGGTAAAAAAAAAGATTTCTGCAACACGATCGCATCGCGATTGTAACGCGACCGTAAGGCGAGAATAACGCGTGCATCTCCATCTCTCTCCCCTCCGCTGTGCATCTCTCCATCTCCCCGCCCCTACCCCGCAGTCTGGCCGGCGTCAACGTCACACCGTGGGGCGTAAGGTTCTCATCCGCCTCCTCCGTGTCCTCCGGAGGGGGCAGCGTCGTCCTGGCCACGAGCATTGGGGGCTCCCACGTGGCCGCCGCCGCCACCACCGCCGTGGCCGCCGTGGCCGCCGCCGCCGCCGCGGCTCTGCCGGTCGGCCTCGGCGTTTCGGCCCCGGTGGCGGTGGAGGTCCCGGTGCTGGCCCCCGTCCTGGTCCCCGTCGTGGCCCCCGTCGTGGCCGCCGCTGTCACCGCGGCCTCCGCCGTGGTGCACGCCGAGACGCTGGAAGAGGTCAGCTTCACCGCGAGCAGCAGCTCGAGTTTCAGTGAGGTGTCCAGCACGCAGGTGGCCACCAGCGAAGAGGGTGAGAGCGACGCACGTGCCCGCACGCACGCTCACTCGCGTATATTCACTCACGCACACTCACACAAGACAAAGATCCCCCGTGTAGCCTGTAACAGGCTGTTGGGGCAGGTGCTGTTAGCGAGCACCTATGAAGGCCGGCACGGCACACGAGGGGGTGGGTGGGCAACACCACGCCCGGCTGCCTTTGTCTCCCCCGGTGGCGATGTCTTTACACACGCAATAGGTGCTCGGGGAGGCCCAGGATCTGTTCAGATATTCACCACTGTTATTGGTCACGAGCGGGAATCGAACTCGGGTCGTCGGCTTCGTGGCACGATGCGGCAGCCCCTGTGCTGCTGCTTGCCTCAACCTCAACCCCAAATCACTCGCGATCACACGCATCCGGCACAATGCATGTTTCGTCTAGTTGACGTGGTTGTATTATTTTGCCCTTTTTTCCCTGTGTTCCAAAATTATGATCCCATTGTACTGGCTGTGATCAAATCACGAGGTTTTGTCATTTTAATTTGAAATATTCCTGCTTCAAAATGTAAGTGATTTCCTGCTCAAACGAGCCATTGAGGCATTGGCATCTCCCGTTTACAGCTGTTCTGAGCCAGGAGTGGAAACTCCTCATTCCGGTGTTGACTTCCCCACAGAGCGATACTCATTTCATTGACCCCGGAGGGATGATTACCAGGGGTGGAACTCGCCACTTTCCGATTGCGAGCCGCTCGCTCTACCGCTGAAGCCACCTGGCGGGTTCGGAAATGTTCCAGGATGGAAGAGGGCAACGCAGGCAGGCGGGCAGGCGGGCAGGCAAGCAGGGTTCAGCGATATCAGCCACGTCCCTTTCATGCAAACGTCCGTTGGCGTTGTTCGAAGATCACGCTGCAGATTGCACGAAGCTTTGCTTATCGCCAAATCACGCGGAGCGCACAACCAATGCTCGTGGGTGGACAGAAGCAGTGGTGTGTGGGGGGGGGGGCAGTGTGTGGAGTCAGATTTAAGAAACTTGCACCAATGATTCGCTCACTCTGGGAGATCGAGCCAGCGACCTCTGACCTCTTGACCTCTCAATGGCAAGTTCCGCTGTGCGAAACCATCACAATGGCTCTCGTGGAGGGGATTTAACCGGTTTCATTAAAACGGTCAGAACCCAAATTGGCTGAACACAATCGTGTGCCGCTACAACAAAACTGCGAACAGAACCCCGGACACGTCGCCGCGTGTCCGCGTGTCACACCTCGCGACTCGCTGAACGTGCCGATAAAAACGTCCACCGCGGAGGTATATCCTGATGCCTGCATATTTGGAGTTTGCACGTCTCTCTCTCTCTCCCCCCGTGGTCGCGTGGATTTTTCTCAGGGTTCTCCGGTTATTCCGTCCAACATTTAGAATCAACAGCATTTGGCTGCTATACATTTTCACACAACGATAAGCCACTTCGTTGAGCTATCATTTGTGGCCAGGTAACTTCTGAAAAAGAGCTATAATAGCTCAGCTGGCCTTACCTGGTCAAATACAAATAGTTTAGTTTTTAGTTTAATTCAGCAAACGGAGAGAAAGCCAAACGACAACGGGTAAACGGACACCGCATCTCGCCGCGTCACGCCGCGCCAATTTTGTTAATGGTAGCGACCCGTTAGTTGACCATTCTGAAAAATGTTCGCTGGCCAAAAAAAATTAAATTTAGATCCGTCATCTGTGGTTTTTTGCACCGTGCCAAGTTTCGTTCCTTTTTAGCTAACGCCCGGCGCCTTCTCCTTGTCTCCGTGGTGCAGCGCTGCTGGGGACTGCCCTGGCCACCACCGCCGCTGTCGTCGCTGCCACGTTGGAGTAGAGGTGCGGCCCTCTGGCCTGCCGCGAGACGCCGGGCGGCACTGATTTAACGCAGCGGCTTTCGCGACCGATATTCCTCGTAATAAAGGGTTTTTTAAAAATCCTTTATATTAAGTTCACTTGCTTGCTTGCTTGCGCGCTTACGACCGTGCAAATCTTTCGTTCGTTTTTTTAACCCACTTCCCGTGATCCAATCGAGCTGACATTTTGCACACAGACTCGTTGTGCGTGACAATTTCTTTTCGTGAATTTTTTCCCCCAAAATTTCCCACTTTTTAGGGGAAAAAAAAATGCATATTTAATTTAAAATACCAATGTGATAAAAATGAAACTCTTACTCAAGAAAAACATAAATTAATAATAAAATAAAACCGATGCCACGCATATAAAGGATTTATAGTGAAAAACTTTGTTTTTACGGGTTATATTTTTTTGGGTTCGATAGTGCAAAAATATAAATGTACGTATGTATGTAGAACTTCTTTCGCATCGTACAGTACGTAGCTAACCGTGCTAATTGGAGGTGTGGATGTGTTTGTCACGTGAACAATTCTGGCAAATCGCCTGAAGTTCCCATTTAAAGCTTTCGTGACTGCAGGGATTCATCTTCTTGGTTCTTTCGGTAAAGTCACGTAGGATGGAAATAATAAAATAATAAAAATAAAACATAATAAAATAATTCTCACGACGTTTCGGCCACAACAGACGCTGTCTCCCCGACAGACCTGGTCTTCACCTGAGGAAGGCTGCTTGCGTTGTGGCCGAAACGTCGTGAGAATTATTTTATTATGTTTTATTTTTATTATTTTATTATTTCCATCCTACGCCTGAAGTTCGTTGTTGTAATTGCCAGCGAAACGTCAAAGTACTCAAATTGCGAAATGTCATGTGTTTACTCTCCGACACACCGGGTGTGCCGAAGTACTAACTAATTGGCACGTTTTGTTACCGTGACATAACTTTACTAATTGGCTGTGTTGGGTGGTGGTGGGTCAACGACACATTTATATTTACGCGATCTATCCCAAAAAAACTCTTATGCATAATATTGATCGCGAAAGCCTACTATGTGTTAAAGTGACACGCTATTCAAATGCATGTAGAAATTCCATTGCAAATTATAAATATATAAATATATAATATTAACTATGGTATAATATTAACTATTTTAATCAAGATAGGACACACATCTTACGTGTGCTAAGGTGTGTGGAACACTTATATTTTTCCAAGTGGCAGGCTATAAAAAAAATAGAATTTCCATAAAGGAGGGTCAATGTGACTACAGGGCACAGTCCTGCAATTGCTTACTTAAGTCACTGCTGATGGAAGTGGCCTCCCTTAACCCCAGAGCCGACTTAATTCACAATAACATCGTGATAATTTTCTCTTAAAACTATTTGCAGTTTACTTAACTCCTAGAATACATATACGTGTTTAATTCCTGCAGGGCATTACCAATTTTCACCTCGCAAGATCTGGACATTTATGACCCTTCTGTGAAAGTTAACCATTGCGTACAAGTGGCATGGCTCACGTGGAACCAACCTCAACGCATTCTCTCAGCTGCTCACAGGACGTGGCGGTGAAATGAACGAAATGTGCGCACGTGCCGCTGGGGCGACAATGGCGGCCGCGCGAGCTTCTGGCCGCCCCGACAGTTTCTTTGTCGGCTACACGGGGTGACTGACGTCTCGTCTCCGTGTGTGTGCGTGTGTGTCTGTGTGCGTGTGTGCGTGTGTGTGCGTGAGCGTGTGTGCGTGCGTGTGTGCGTGTGCGCGTGTGTGCGCGTGTCTGCGTGTGTGCATGTGTGTGTGTCTGCGTGTGTGTGTGTGCGTGTGTGCGTGTGTGCGCGTGTGTGTGTGCGTGTGTGCGTGCGTGTGCGTGCGTGTGTGCGTGTGTGTACGTGTGTGTGCGTGTGTGCGTGCGTGTGTGCGTGTGTGTGCGTGTGTGCGTGCGTGCGTGCGTGCGCGTATGTGCAGGTGACGGCGCTTGAGACGACGGCTTAGGAAGCGGAGTGATGCATGGACATCATCCCGGGACCAATCTGCGTCGACTGTCGTCGTTTCTTCTGCCGCTCTTCCTCAGCTCAGCTCTCCTCGGCCACTCGCTGGTGGCTCTTTTGCTCGCGGGCCTTGAGCGCAGGCTGTGGCGTGCCTGGTGAAACTTACTCTCTCTCCGCTTTGGGTTTCCACCCAGCGCCACTCGTGGGGCCAAACGGTCGCTGTGCACGCACTCGCCACGCGTCGCTGTCCAGCGCACGAACGCAGAGCTCTCGTCCGTGTCTCCACCTATAAATAATAACGGTAATGTCATGCTCTGGTCCGGTGGTTCTCAACCGGGGTGGACGTGGACCCCTGCAGGCACGTGGCAATTGTCCCAGGGGGTACCGCGAGGTGATTTATAAACGCGTAAAATAATCACGTATGAATTATCACGTATGAATCGGCCGATAGAAAATTACTACGATAACATTTAAATCCACACGGTAGCCTAGAACGGTATAATAGACTTTTATAAACTCGTTGATCGTAAACAATGCGGTTTCCAAGAGTAACCAATCGAACAAATTACGTAGAATTGTTGTGTTCGATTGCAAGTTACTCGCTAGTTCAGATAACCTCACAAAAATGGACAATACGGTTAAAATATTGAAGTTCATTATTCATACATTTTTATTTCTTAGAACCATGTTGGGGTCAGGTAAGGGAAGGGGGGGTACTCACTAGAAACGAAATTCAATAAGTGGCGCATAGGAGCCAAAACGAGGATGAGACCCACTGCTCTAGTTCATCAGCCTACTCGCTTTCTCCAGACCAATGTTGATACTCATGATTCTAGATTTGAAGCTTTCGTGACTGCAAGTATTCATACTCTTAGGTTTTTTTCGGTAAAGTCACGTAGGTAAAAAATAAAAATAAAATTAATAGAAGTAATAATAGAAATAAAATAATAAATCACGATGTTTCGGAGGCAACACAAGTCTCCGTCATCAGGTGGGACCGTCACAGCTAAAATCACTTGATGCAGTAATTTTAGCTGTGACGGTCCCACCTGATGACGGAGACTTGTGTTGCCTCCGAAATGTCGTGATTTATTATTTTATTTCTATTATTACTTCTATTAATTTTATTTTTATCTTTTTACCTACGTGACTTTACCGAAAAAAGCCTAAGAGTATGATACTCATGATGTCAACTCGTATCGCACCGCTGCACAGTATTTTGCTCGCTCTCGTGGCGAGAGAGAGAGAGATGGGGTGGGGGGGGGGAGAGAACGACTCAGAGGCGCGCGGATCCCCAGATAAGCGGGAAGAGCAGCCACACGGTGACAATTTATTTTACCAAGCTCCGCGGTCCTCTACATATTAAGATGTTATCGGCCAATTGACGAGTGTTTATGATCCGTCGGCGGAAAATGTGGTTTAAGCAAGCAAACTCTGGCCTGGTTTTCAGCCTCTGGGTCTAATCGGCATTGTTAGCATTGTTAAAACAAATTCACCTTATGGCGGGTGCCCGGGGTCCCGAATAAACGGAAGTCAAAATCGCGATGAATTAAATTTGTTTTTGGCGCACATTAACCCCGTGAACCACCCGGCGCAGATCATTCTGATGTCGTGTCGTGTCCAAGCGCAGCGGCGAGGACGAATGCGCAGGAGAAACACAACTTTGAAACTTCGATTAGCGCATCGTGTAGAGCTCGTCGAGAGGAATGGATTGCCGTGTCGTTCGCCTTCAACAGGCGTAAAGTGACGTCGCAACGCAGTTTATGCGAGAGCCGGGGGCTTATGAGACCCTGGGGTCCCGCCATGAGGTTAAAATGCTGCTGCTGCGTTTTGGACGAGCGCCCTTCTCCATCCATAAGCTGTCGCGTTTGTTGACGATATTTTGCTGTTTCGCTTTGAACAGTGCCCACGAGCCAATAAGGCCCATGGACCGATGGCAAGTGTCTGCGTTTGTTACGTGGAGACACGGGAGCGGAGCGAGTTCTCTAAGCCTGCAAATGCGTTGACAACGCCGATTTCCGACTTAGGCACACCTGGGCCCCCCCCACCCCGCCCCCCGCTTTCATTGTCCAAGCGAACGCGCAGAATAATCGCGGAGAGAACGCGTGGGTGTGAGTGTGGGTGCGTGCCGCGGCCTCTGTTCCGGCGGAGCTGACGACTCTGCCTGCGGCCTGGCGACGTTTGCTCCCGCAGCGGGGTGGGTCGTGTTTGGCGCTCTCTCTCTGTCTGTGTGTCACACTCTCTCTCTCTGTGTCACACTCTGTCTTTCTCTCTCTGTCACACTCTCTCTCTCTATCACTCTCTCTGTGTCACACTCTCTCTATCTGTGTCACACTCTCTCTGTGTCACATTCTCTCTATCTGTGTCACACTCTCTCTATCTGTGTCACACTCTCTCTGTGTCACACTCTCTCTCTCTATCACTCTCTCTGTGTCACACTCTCTCTATCTGTGTCACACTATCTCTGTGTCACTCTCTCTCTCTCTCTGTGTGTCACTCTCTCTCTATCTGTGTCACACTCTCTCTGTGTCACACTCTCTCTATCTGTGTCACACTCTCTCTGTGTCACACTCTCGGGCTTCAGGTTTCGGAGCACAGCGACCGCGCTCTTCGACGCGTGCCCCCCCACCCCTCTCCCAGCTTCGTGCAGTGCAGGGTGCTTGCCGACTAATAAACAAAAGGGATGAAACATTCGCGAGTGGTTCTCAAAGTCTTGCCCCGGGACTGCGCGTGTCCGCGCGCGCCACACGCCCCTGGTGAGGCAGCATCAATTCGAGAAGAGAATGTATCTCGGGTATACAAATATATGTTGTGTTCGGTCAACAACGGTGATGAGCACCTAATGTTATGATCAACACAGCGACCCGACTTTGATTCCTGGCTCTCGGCTGACATCAGTGGCGAGCGTGAGCAGAACTTCTCCTGGCCTCTCCCTCGTTAGCCACCCGTACCGACCAGCGTGGTTGAAATGTGGCAAAGACAAAGACTCCGTGACCCACGTGGCGATGGGAGGTCTTCGGACCCATTTGCCGACTGGGAATGGCTGGAATTCCTCGATCATGAACCTTCGGGAGGGGAAGAGGGCAGGAGACTCGGGGGCCAAAGTAACAAAATGAGACGTGACGTAAGAATAATATCGGAATTTTTATTTAATTCGGAGGAATCCGATGAGCGATGAAGCTCTTTCATTTCTCCCACAGACGTCCAGGTATCGTCGAAGGCAACAGCGGCGGATCAGGGGCTTGATGAGTTATGTCCCCGTTCAACAAAAAACAATTACAATCGTTGCACACACATCATCATCATCATCGTAATAAGGGGCCGTCCATAAATGACGTCACGCACCTGTGGGGGGGGGGGGGGTCAGACATTTGTGACGATGTGTGACGAGGGGGGGGGGGTGAGAAATGTGACGTCACATCAACATGCGCAACTTTAAATAAACATAGACAACACGTTCTACTTAATTAAATTGGCTTTTTAGTAAATGTTTTCTCCTACAACATCAGAGTGCAGCGCCACATTAAATACGCACTACAATGACAATAGTTTAAAGCGATTTGAAGCATGTTTTATTTTTTGACGAAGGGGGGGCAGAGCTTTGTGACGCCATATTTGAGTGGGGGGGTCTGATTTTTGTGACGCCGTGTAACGAAAGGGGGGGGGGGTCAAAAATCGTCAAAAATTGCGTGACGTCATTTATGGACGACCCCTAACGATGGTAATAATTCACAGCCCTTTCACCACGCAACTAGCAAGTGAGGACCTCTCGCCTGCCGTGACCCTCGTTGGTCGCCGTGGTCTCGGTTACGGACGTTGAGGTCCCCCCGTAAGAAGGCCATTCAGCCCGCAGCAGCATCCAAAGTTCAGTGCCGTGTCCCCTTCCGTGGAAACTTCGTGGGGCATAGGTATAGAGGAATAATAATAATTAAAAAATGTGTGGAAAGTCCCGGTATACCAACACGTGCTTTGGGTGTTCTGAGAAGGTGCCTGTAGTCGTATACACATTCCTGCGGAGGGAGCTGGTAGGAACGTTGGGTTGCTCGGTCAATGGCCAGGGTCAACGGCGGCGTGGTTGAGTTTTATAAGGGCACCACGGGGTGACCAGCCACTCCCCACCCAGCCCCTCCCCACCCAGCCCCTCCCCACCCAGCCCCACCCACCCCACCCAGCCCCTCCCCACCCTCCCCACCCAGCCCCTCTCTCCCCACCCAGCCCCTCCCTGCACGACGGACGGACGGACACAATAATCCCATGTGGGCTGGTGTAACCAGGCGGTTCCTAATAGTCTGTTTGACCACACTTCGAACACGCTCGGTGAGTGTGGCTCGGTGACGTGGGGTGGAATTGAGCCCCAGGGACCGCTATGATATTCGCCATAACAATAATACACATGTTGCCAACCCTTTGTGGATCCACTGATGAAGGAGGGCCTCCCCACGCAGTGTGGGTTATGGGCGTTGTTCACCATACTTCACCAGGCTGGGCGGTGCGGCTTGGTGGAGTCCCCAGTACCGTTTAGCTGTGGCCGGGAATTGAACTCAGCCAGTCAGGCGCATCCCTGAAATCGATCAGTGGTGGATATTCGACATTCCTATGGTGGATGAGGGGGGGGGGGGGCAGGCCGTGTGGCAGCCCTCACAGCAAGGCCGTAGCCATGGAGTCAACATTGGGGGGGGGGGGACCAAATCTTCCAGGGGGTCTGGGGGTACCCCCCCCAGAAAAGAAAATCTTAATTTGAAAACGAATTTCCTGCCATTTTCTGCTTAAAATCTAGAAACATTCACTAACACATAGGATCGACTTTTTATTTATTTTTAACAATAATGTCCAATAGTGTATTGTATTACACTGCTCTGTTGTTTTCTATTTCACCTTTTTTTGTTTAGGGGGATTAATAAAGTACAACCATAACCACAATCATATATACAGAAATCTATTTTATCGCAATATATTGGGGGGGGGGACATTTTTAGCATATTGAATATTGGGGGGGATGCATCAGACACTGATGATGTCTTATCGACTAAAGCGGCCCCCTCTGAAAATTAGTGAAGAACACCGGCCTGGTTAGCACGGATCGTCAGTCGCATCGTCGCAATGGCATGTAACCCAGTCGAGGTGTTGTTAACATCGTCTTTATCAGAATCAGAATAGTTATTTACACCGGAGGAATCCGATGAGCTATAAAGCTCTTTTTCACAGATGTCCAATCGGGGCGGGTAAGAACGTCACAACAACAAACGATACAAACACACGATCGGAGTGCAAAGGTACAAGAAAATTAAACAAATCACCCAAAAACATACAAATACAACTAAGCCACCCCCATCCTACCAGGTAAAGCCTCCTGAGGTATTGACTTATTTTTCAGAAGCGACCTGGCCACAAATGATAGCTCAGCAAAGTGGCCCATCATTTGGACATTCATAGCGACGATGATGCTGCTGCTGTCACACCCTGGATAAACTATCTTTTTTTTCTACTCAGCAACTGAGAGATGGCTGTAAAGATCAAATTACAGGAGCATTATATCCCTGAGCATTATGAGTAAATCACACGGACCGTGCTATATCTCGAAAGCTAAGCAGCGTCGAGCCTGGATAGCTCTTGGATGGGTGACCACCATGCATGTGTAGCAGTCCTCCTCGGCGTGTGTGTGTGTGTAGCGCGCACTCAGTCGGAGACGAGGTAGTTGCAGGAGGCACCTTGTCTCTCTTTATTTCCGTTACACCAACTCCGGCCGTTCTCACTCGCACGGATCGCCTCCTCTCTCACGGCCACGCTGCCGCACAGCCTGGCACAGACACAACCCTGTGTCCGCGTTGCACCGACGGCGTCGACCGAGACAGCCGACTACTGTCCGGCCGCGCAATGATCGGGCGAAGGCGACA